AAATGCTGGAGAGGGTGTGGAGAAAAGGGAACCTTTTTGCACTGTTGGTGGGAATGTAAATTGACACAGCTACTGTGGAGAACAGTATGGAGGTTCTTTAAAAAACTAAAAACAGAACTATACATAACAACCCAGCAATCCCACTCCTGGGCACATACCCTGAGAAAACCATAATTCAAAAAGAGTCATGTACCACAATGTTCATTGCAGCTCTATATACTATAGCCAGGACATGGAAGCAACCTAAGTGTCCATTGACAGATTAATGGATAAAGAAGATGTGGCACATATATACAATGGATTATTGCTCAGCCATAAAAAGAAATGAAATTGAGTTATTTGTAGTGAGGTGGATGGACCTAGAGTCTGTCATACGGAGTGAAGCAAGTCAGAAAGAGAAAAACAAATACCGTATGCTAACACATATATGTGGAATCTAAAAAAATAAATGGTTCTGATGAACCTAGGGGCAGGACAGGAATAAAGGCCCAGACGTAGAGAATGGACTTGAGGACACGGGGAGGGGGAAGGGGAAGCTGGGACGAAGTGAGAGAGTGGCATGGACATATATACACTACCAAATGTAAAATAGATAGCTAGTGGGAAGCAGCCGCATAGCACAGGGAGATCAGCTCGGTGCTTTGTGTCCACCTAGAAGGGTGGGATAGGGAGGGTGGGAGGGAGACGCAAGAGGTAAGAGATATGGGAATATATGTATACGTATAGCTGATTCACTTTGTTATACAACAGAAACTAACACAACATTGTAAAGCAATTATACTCCCATAAAGATGTTAAAAAAAAATTATGTTCAATTATGTGTAGCCATTGCCCAGTGATCTATAGGTTATGCTGGAAATGTTAAAAGAAGAAAATAAACAGATCTTTGTATCAATTGTAATGCCTACATATCATATCTAGGTATTAACATGCATTACTGTTTTTCAAAAGAAATGTTGAACCGTGTCTGTGTGAGTTAACTGGATATTCTCCACACTAAGTCGCATCAAGATGTTGTACTTAGGAAACAGACACGAAGATGTCTCCTTTGGGGAAAAGGCCTCTAAGCACCGGCTGCCGAGGTAGATGTGAGCCCATGTCGGCTAGCACACAATTAGGATGGTGAAGTCCTCCTGTAGTAACCGCTGTCCCTCATCTGTGAGAAAACGAGAGACTCAAGCAACAAATACATAGCGTCAAAAGGGCATTGAGTGATGAGTATTTCTTCAGATCAAGTAATTAGTCCTGTCAGTTACCATGAACAAGACGAGGAAAGAGCAGGGTGGCCGTGTGACCTCTGGCCCCGGGAGCCGGATGTCCCCAGCCACTGCCTCCTGCACGAGCCCGTGGTGAGCATCCCGGACGGTGCCGTGCTGTCCGGAAGCAGAAGGACTCCCCCACCTCCGGGACCGTGAGACCTGGGAGTGACGTAGGAGCATGAGCTGAGGTGGAGACTCGGGTGCCACGTCTGCTGACCCCAGGGCAGCATGGGCGCCCCTGCCTCGGCCTCTGCGGAGCCCTCGTTACGGGGAGGCCCAGGGACAGCGAGGCTCCCTGCTGCTCTAGGGCTGCAGTTCCAGTTCCCGGTGGGGTCCTTGCGGTTGGTGCTCTCTGCCAAGGTTGGCGCTCGCTGGCGTTATCTTGCAACCCTGGTTGCCGTGCGGGTGAGCGTCCTCCTTGCCGCACTCGCGTCCTGCTTCTGTGTCTGCAGGCTCCCAGGCAGCCTGTCTGTAGGGCCTGGGGGCCTTCTGGATTCACAATGGTGCCGTCTGTAGCTGGGGTCCCCGTGAGGTCTGACACTTTCCCTCCTCTTGTTGTATCGCCAGGGCCTCCGGCAGGGAAGCAGCAGGGTGAGGGCTCCACGTGCAGTGTCCCTGCGGGATTTTCTCACCCTCTATCGCATTTCACATTTCCCTTACATTTCTAGTTTGCTACACGTTTTCATGATCTGTTGGTGTTAATATTGATTGAATACTTTATATCACTACAATCAAACGGTTAATATTTTGTTTAGAAGTTTTGTATTGCTGTTTAGGAGAGGGGTTGGCCTGCAACCTTCCCGTCTTTCAGTGTCCTCATCAGGTTTTGAAAGGAGAACTGTGTTGTACTCACAAAGCGTGTGGTCACCGTCACTGTGTCTGTTCTCCAGAAATGTTTTGTATGTTGGGCATTTGTTTCTTCCTTAAATGTTCCTTAGAAGTCAGGTGAATCCACCTAGGCCTGAAGTTCTTTTGTGGGATTATTTTTAACTAAAGATTCAATATTGTAATAGATATAGGACTATTAAGATTTTCCGTTTCTTCATGTGTCCAGTTTGGTATGTTGTACTTTTCTCAGAATCCTCCATTTCATACAAACTATATAGTTTATTTGCATAGAGTTGTTCACAGAACCATCTTATTGGTCCTTTCACGCCTACAGGATGTATGTTAACACACGCCTTCACCCCACGCTGGCGTTTATGTGTCCTCTGCTCGTCCCGCCCAGTCTTGCACTGTTCATCTTTTCTTTCTTCACATGTCAGTGCTGGTCGCTGTGTCTCTGTTGGGTTTTCTTTTCTCTTCCTTGATTTTGTGCTCCTCTGATTGTTATTCCTTCTGCTTTCCTCAGGTATAAGTTGCTGTTGATTTTCCAGCTTCTTTCTTACTTATATGATTGATTTTTAGCCTTTTTTCTTTCCTGACATATTTAAGATTATAAATTCACCTTTAAGTAGAATTTAGTGACATCCCATGTTTTGAGTTGTCATAATTTCATCAAGTTTAAAATAATAATTTTTCCTTATTATGAAAGCAGTATCTGCTCAATGTCCTACAGTTGGAAATCAGAAAAGTACAATGAAAAAAACAACCTACAGTCATAGCACCCAGAAACCACAGTTAGCCCCACAGGTCTGGCATCTGGACCTTCAGTATCTCAGTGTGTATTAAGTTTTCCTCTTAAGAAGTGTGCACACACACTTATATGAAAAAGTATGATACTCTTATGTTTTACACCCTTTTTTGCCACCTCCTCCTTCTCAAATTCCTGTTTTATAGTCTTTTAGAGTAGCAGGCTGATAGCATAATCATCCTCACAGGGCAGCATTCGTGCTGTGCTCTCACCACTTGCAAAGAGAAATGAACTGGAGGATGACGTCAGTAATTGGCTCGGCTGGAAGGGCCTGGAGAACGGAGATATAGGGGAATAAATGAGAGCAGCTCTCCGGATGCCACTCTTGGTGGACAGTAAGGATGCCCCCAGATGACTGCACGCTGGTCCCCAGATGGCTTTACTGTGACTTGATAAAGCATCCTATGGATGACTTTTTTCCAAATCAATAAAGGCAAGAATAGACCCCAATGAGGAGAAATGTAATTTTTTCTTTTTTTAACTGAATCTGGAAAATTTTTTAAATTCCATAAGCAGTGGTCATTTTTCAAACATTAATATTTTACAAGACCAGCTCAAGGGCCAGCTATTCAGAGATACTCATGAATCAGGTGTCTGTCAGCGACACTAAGCAGGTCTCTAAAATCAGTTAATATCAACTTTCAAATGAAATAAGAAAATGCTGTGTTCAATCATCCACTGGTGATTGAGAAGAGAGAGGAAATGTACCAACTATGGGACTGTATGACAGTGTCACATTGTGATTTTATGAGGAGTAATTTGGGCTTCATGCCAAGTTGCAGGCAGCACCAGGTCTCCTGGTTGTCACCTGTATCAAGAGAAAACTGAGGACTCTCATTCCAGAGTCAGGGAAGGACTCTCCCCGTATCCAGAGGCAGTGTCTGGTTTGATGACGACACGAAGCTGCAGGGGAGGGGGCCTTCTGTGTCACACAGGCCCGAGGGGGTGGGAGGGGCTGGTGGACGCTTGTTTAAATGCGCAGGTGGGAGTTTGGCTGCATAAATAGACTCAGAGGCCAGAACAAGAGAAGAAGCCACCTCCACGGGTCATAGGGTGTGACCAGCGGGTTCCGAGTCTCAGGCCCCTCATCACAGGAAGCGCAGTGCAAGGACCACGCGGCATCTTCTGTCTGACGTCAGCGGCAGATCAAAGCCTCAGAGTGTGAATTACAGGGAGAGGGATCTTCATTCCACGTAGTGACGCACAGTGTCTCAGAAGTCTCACACGTGGTGTTTGACTTCTCACCATAACCTGTGGTGGGCCTAAGGAGAACCTGTGAGAAATGAGGGTTGTTGAGAAGAGGCGTCTGAGCGTTGATGGCAGCACCACCGTCCTTGGTTGGCTGGGATGGAGCAGGTGGGCGTGTGTGGGCAGCAGCGGGTGTGCTGGGCGTGCACTGGGCATGTGCTGAGCATGTGCCGAGCATGCACTGCCACAAGGGTGCGGGGATGGGGTGGACGGGGCAGGATTGGCGTGCAGGTCGTCCCTCTCAGGCCCCACGTCCACCGCAGGCCTTACCACCACACGTCCACTCCAGACCTTGTCTGTTGGCGTGGCAGTGACTGCCACATCTCGAACATGTCACTTACCTGCCAAGAGCCCAGACTTCATCTTCATTCATGTGGGACCCATTGCTGATTCGGATGGGCAGGTCGTCACTGTTTGCTTCTCATCCTCACACACAAGTAACTCTTTAGAAGGTGCTAAAGGACATTTTAAAAAACATGAGAATTCATGTTTCTCTCCCCAAGACCACAGGCATGACATTTTACTCTCGATAAAACTGCAACAACTCTTACATCCTTAAAATCATACCATATGTCATGATTGTAACAATGTTGAATAAATACACATACACACACATACGCGTACACATACATACACCTTTTTTGGAAGAACAAGTAGGTTATTAATTTACTTCATGGTAAATCCCAGGATCCTTAACAGTGTACTTTGTTGGTATAAAGTTAAGAATCACTGAAGTAAATATTTTAAATTCCTTTTCTACTAAAATTACAAGATCCCAATGGAAAATTTATTTAGCCTAGTAAGTTTGTTATGGTTCCATTTTACAGAAAATTGTTACATTTGAATTTTTGTTTTTATAGATCAGGATCTTCAGGCTCAACCAAAGAGAAGAAGAATTAGAAAGCATAATTCAAAGAAAAAATTTAAAAATCCCAATAACATACCTGTAGAACAAGCAGAATTAGAGAAACAGCAGAGTATTTTGCAAGAAAAATTGCAGCCACGGCACACAGATGGCCCCCCAATAAGCAAAAATAAAAAAAGGAAACTGAAAAAGAAACAGCAAATTAAAAGGAAGAAAGCAGCTGGCTTACTAACAGGAGTCTCTGGCGTCAACTTCATGTACCAGCCTGAGGAGACCAGCAGTGAGCAGGGCGACGTGAGAGTGAGTGATGGAGAGGACGGCACAGACGGGGAGGGAGGGGTCCCGGATGCCGAGAAGGAAGGAGCCACAGACGCCAGGAAGGAAGATGTTAAAAGTACGAATGAAAAGGCAGATGGTATCCTGAACTTTTTGAAGTCAACACAAGAAATTTATTTTTATGATGGTATGTTTTTTCCTGTTGTTCTTTTGAATAATGGCATCTACTTCTTTGGAAAATTAAGCAAAATGTAAAATATTTAAATGTTTAAAATACAAAACATTAAAAATATTCAGTATTCAAAATAAGTCGTTAGTTTTGAGGCAAAAACCCAAAGATCTGGGCTGGCCCCCTGCTCTAGGCTCACCAGGGGAAACAGCCAGTCCATTAGAGGTGTGGGTCCAAACGAGGGTGGTCTCATCATCCTCATTTCTCTAAGATCCAACTTCAGAATATGGTGCTATTCTCAGCTCTATGTCTAAAGAAAAGGTAAATCCAGGTTGGAGACTTTGATGAATTCTTGCTCATTTTCATTGGCTAGTAGAGAAGTGAAAGAAGCACAGCTCTCTCTCGGACACACGTTGATTTGCTCCCCAATGTGTGGCTTAGTGATTTGAGATTTTTCAGTAAGTATATTTGACCACTATTTGTACTGATAAAGGAGCTGAAGTTTATCCTGGGATTTATTCTGACGGGTGATAATCCCTCACCTTTGTGTGGAGCCTAACAGACAGCAGCCCTGAGGGTCAGGAAGAAGCAGGTGCTGGCTCGGTGCCAAGAACAGAGGTGCTGGGATAACTGCCCCCGTTCTGATCCGTCCTGGGAGATTTAGGGGATGTGGTGGGCTTAGTGCATCGAACCTCCAGCATGACCAAGATGGAGAAATACTGCCTATGTGTGATAACTGGAGGGGTAAGGGATGGACTTAAACAGTGATGCAAAAACACCATGATTAACGGGTCCATTTTAACCAAGATTGACCCTTTTCCTCTTTCGTTTGTTTATCCACAGTTTGTGTTAAGTTGAAAACATCCTTAACGAATATCCACATGAGACTAATAGGAGGACGTGGTGGATACACTGCAGAACAGAAGTAGGCTTCAGAGAGATCTCAGTAGATTATCCATTCTCTGCGTGAGGGAGTAGCTTGTGGCAGACAACCCTCCTGCCAAGGAAGACTGAAGTTTAAAGTGTACTTGGAGTTTTAAGAGCTGCTCAGGAAAAGCCCTTGTGACAAATCCCAGAGGAGGTGAAGCACAGGCCGGGTGAGCCAGAATGCTGCTGCCCTCCTTCCCCCAAGGTGTCTGCCAGTTTGGACAGGGGCTTGAGCAAGGGTCCAGGGGAAGGGGCAGTGCAGCCCTGGAGAGCAGGCAAACCAGCAGAGCCCCAGTGGTCTCACAGGTCTGGGGGGGAAAGTGGAGGGCCCAGGGTCGGCCAGCTCTGTAAGAAAGGAGGGTCAGAGACCAGAACAAAGCTCTGCTTGTCCCCACTCAAAACCTTGGCCAAGCCCTGAACTGTGGGATGGGAGGAGGGCAACCAGGCAGACCTCTTCCACATGGCAGGGCGGCCTTTGTGGCGTCCTGAGGGACCGAGCAGGCAGGGCTAACCTGACCCTCCAGCGCAGCACGCAGGCCACACGCTCAGGTACAGGTGGACAACTGCCAGCCAGACGTGCAGCCACCCTGTGGTCAGTTCAGTCGCCTGCCCCTTCTCTGTCTGCTGAGCAGAGGCGAGGGGGGACCCTCTCTGGAGGAAAATGTCGTTAGCCGAGGCCCTGCGATTTTCATGTTCATTCAAAGGAGTGTGTCAGACACAGCAAGAGACCGGACCATACGACCGAAACCATGCGGAAAAGAGCAGCAGAAAGAGGCCACGGGGTGGAGACACTGATGTTACCAGACAAGGGACTTAAAATAGCTATGATCTAGATGTCCAAGAAGTAGGGAGAAGATGCAGAAAAAAGGTGAAAAGCGAGCCTTTCACCAGATAATTTGAATCTATTAGGATAATCAGACGGAAATTCTAGACCTGAGAAATACAATAACAAGTTAAGGACTCAAAGACGAGTTCAGACAGCAGATTAGATTCAGCATAAAAGAGAATTAGTAACTGCAAGGCAGGCTGAAGGAAGTCTCCAGAGTGAAGGAGGGAGAGGAAAGGATGGAAAACACAGAAGGAGCATAACAGCCACATGGGTCCAAGGGACTGGGGCACGAGGGACGTGTAAGAGTGGCAGCTGGGAGTTTTTCAAAGTTGGCAAAGACCGTGAAGTCACAGATTCTAGACATCCCGTGAACACCAACCAGGATAGTGCAGAAATGGCCTCAGCATGATGTAGGCCTGCCACCGGCCAGCAGTGGGGACAGCGCTGTGCTCCTGGGGCAGCCTCCTTGGCTTCCTTGAAGCATCCCAGATGCCCAGCAGCTTCATGCTGTTTGTGAATGCCTGACATCGGAGGGCTTGGTTTCGTGTGTTTCCCCTGCTCCGTGTGTGGATTCCAGTACATGGAACACTCAGAGCTGCTTTACGAGATCGGTGCCCGTAACAGACACCACCTTTCCACTGTGGTTCAACAGTTGTATTTTGTTGTTTGCTTCTCAAAGTTCTGTTCTGATTGTCTCTCAAACACATCGTTCTAAACAGAAATATCCGTTTGAGGCTTTCTTTAGGAGGTGAGAGCTTATCTTCAGTTTGTAAGAGTAAAAATACATTTCTAAGTGACCCTGTCTTTGCTTAGGTGTCTCCAAGGATTCGGACTCGGCTGTCTTCATGGAGACCAGTGGAGAGCTATTTAAATATCTTGAAACTCACAGCATGCCCTCCTCAGATGTGTTCATTCTGGATCACATGAAAACGCTGTTACTTTTGCAAGATACTGAAAGATTGAAGAGTGCCCTGGAAGTGTTCCCAGAACATTGCAGGATGCCACACGGTATGTACTGTGCACTTTATTCATTGTGCTGCTTTAGACACTTGTCTAGGGTTTGCCTCTGAAAAACTTACTCTCTAGCAAAGCAGTCCTGAATCAGAAAATATAAGGATGCACATATGGCTTGAGGAATAGATTCCCACAGAGGAATATGCTTCTTGCATCTCTCTTGCTATAAAAATATCTCTCATGATATATGCAGATATGCGTGTGCAATCTAATTCTCCAGACTTGTGAGCTCCACTCTTAGGACCAAATCCTTATTAGTTTAAATGGAAGTGAGAGTTCATTTCTTTTTCCCTTTTCCTTTTTCTCTGCTAGATTTGGAGAAGGTGTATTTTTTCTGTCCTCCAAATGTCTTGGTCTGCCTTCCTGGACCCTACAGTAAAAAGGGAGTTGAACTATGAGATGATTTCTCTTTTGTTACTTCCTCAACCTTTGTTGGGTGCCCATTTCATGCAAACTGTAGAGTGCTGGGCTGACTGTGCTTGTGTCTTCACAATGCCATGGTTGGGGCTTCACACTGGCAGCTTGAAGTCCCACCGGGCCATGGTGGAAATACTCTGGCCGCAGAAATCTGTAAACACTGAGTATCAGACAATCAGGACTTTTTGGAGAGCACTTCACCTGCACAGCATGGAGCAGAACTCCATGCCGGACCCAGGACAGGCACTGGACAAACTTTTAGTTGAGTGAATGGATGTGATTCTGCAGATTACCTTGGGGCAGTAATCTCAAAATGAGCACAGTGCATGGTTTTTCTCCTTGGAAACCTCATAGTATAGCTGAAGAGTCAAGACTGACATGTTTAAAAAGCCACATATCACATTTCGTCACATGAAATAACAGTAAAGCCAGCAGTAAAGCAATATGGCACCAGTATAATTAGCAAGTGGCTGGCGGGAGTTGACGAGACCCTGCGCGTTGGGGTCGCCAGGAGGACCTGCCTCCCCCGTACGTCCAGTAGTGATCTGTTAGGGGGCCTCGTCTGCCCTGCCTGTGCGGCCCTGGTCCCGCCGCGGGTCTTCAGGGGAGAGCGCCCTGCCCTTCGGGGCTTACATTCTGGTGGGGGATGGAGGAAACCAGACCGAGAAGTCAGTGAGGTGTGCTTCGTACAGCTGAGCGCACGAGAAAACATGGGGGGGGGGCGGGGTGTTGTGGGGCGGGGGGGGAGGAGGCAG